CATACACTAGAAACCTAATCTATATATGTAAAAGCCTAAGCAACCATTTGACCATTTGACCGTTCAACTATGATGCACACTGACCACCAGGGGGCAGACACTCAATGCACAGGCATGGAAACAGGGAACAGACTGATGAATCTCAGAGGGAAGGGGAGAGTGTAGGGTGAGGGGGGAGGGTGGGAAGATATTAAACAAAGATCTTATATGCATACTAGAGGCGCAGTGCATGGATCCGTGCACTTGTGGGGTCTCTCAGCCTGGTCTGTGGGGATTGGGACAAAACCAGCAGTCCGATATCCCCTGAGGGGTTCTGGGTGGCAAGAGGGAGCAGGCCAGGCTGAGGGACCCCACCAGTGCACGAATCTGTGCACTGAGCCTCTAGTTCTTTATAAGATTTAAAAAATCATCTACATGATTTAATATTTTATAGAACATACACACTAACATTTTTAAATATATGGTTTTTATTGATTTCAGAAAGAGGAAGGGAGAGGGAGAGAGGGGAGAAACATCAATGTGAGAGTAAGACATCAATTGGCTACCTCCTACATGCCCCCTACTGGGGATTGAGCCCACAACCAGGGCATGTGCTCTGACCAGGAATCAAACTGGCAACTTCCTGGTGCATGGGATGACGCTCAACCAACTGAACCACACCTGCAGGGCTCCACTCTAACATTTTAATTAATCCTCACAACTGCCCAATAAGTTTCATTATTATCCCATATTAGACATGACATAACCAAAGTCCAGAAATGAAGGACATGGATAAGCATCAAAGTTAACTGACCCCAAATTTAATGTTCTTTCACTACTCCACCCCTGTTGAAGAAAACTTAGATCAACTTCATTGTAATCTCACATTTGAAGCATTTTTATTGGGGGGGTAGAAAAGGAATTTACAAAAAAAGACACACAAAAACAGGAATATCAAAGTGTTTCAGAAACTTGTATCAAAGGAAGATTGTAGAAACTAAACGTTGCCTATTTGAGCTGGCAAACTGAAAAGAAAATCCTCTTTTTTTATTATATCAGGATAATCAGATAATATTTTAACCTGTTGCTAGGTTTTTCTGCCTATATTACCTTCTCCCCTCTTCAGGCCAGATGCCAGGGGCACAGGCAGGACTGTTCAGCAGAGAAAGGTTTTGATGCTGTTCCTAAACCTCGCCCAGCTCCTGCGTAGCATTAGCAGTAGGTTGAGAACTTTGGGGCCTGACATAATGGGGCAGGGGTAGGGGGCAAGATAGATCATCCTGTAAAAGTTATAGGGTATACAGTCTGGGCCAGGGACCATGGCAGATGTGGGAGACTCAGAGCGATTTACTTGCCAGAGAAAGCCAAGAGCAGTAGGGTTAGCAGGGAGAGGCCCTGGGCCAGAACAACTCCAGAAAGAAAAATCACAATGTCAGCAGCAGCAGCCACAATATCAACAATGAAACCAGTCCAACTCCCTTCAGCAGGTGACAGCCAGGGCCCACTCAAGGTGCAGCACCAGGCCAGGGGTCTCCTTCTTCTTACCGCCAGAGGTTATGTGAGCCCCTCCCCCATTACCCAAACACCACCTTCGAGCGAGTGCCAAGAAAAAGGGGAAGAATTTGAGCAACCATCCCAAAGCATTGATTTAAACCTAAGGATACTATTAAAATTGTGGGACCAAACTGAACTAAAATTGATGTGTGAGTGGAGGAGCCATACCCAGGGGACCCCATCAATCAGTATCTGGGCTGAATTCCTACCTGGGTCTTTCTGCCACACAGTGATTTGATTTCTTCCCTTGGAACACTGTTCCCCTGGCTTGCTTAATACAAAAAAGCCCCTAGAGAATTTATTAAAAACCCAGATTTTTATATTTTATATACAGTCCCAAGAGCCCGACTGAATTAGAATGACTAAGGGAGGAGGGTCCAGGAACCTGTGCTTTTGGCAAGCATCTCTGGATAGCCTTTGATCACTTTGACAAATGCTGCTGTAGATTATGGAGCAGCTCCCACATGTAAGATATAATGTCATGAGGCCTCGAATGTGGCCTGACAGGCTGATTCTGGCTGTGTCTGCAGCTGCCAGGGAAAAGTATTGTAAGTCTTCTTGAGCCAGGACTCTTCCTGATTGTATTTCTCTCTCCTTCAATGTCTAGGGGCCCAGAGTTATCACTTCATTACCATGCTTACACAAAGCCAGATTAAATTCTGTCAATTTGGGGAAAGACGTTAAGCCTTTTGTTTTGTGTCATGCAGACAAATCAACAGCTCGGATGGCTGCCTCCCACCCTCTGGCCATCAGGATTAGTTGGGGGTGAACAGTGCCGATCAGAGCAAAGCTAATGATGTGGGATCGCTGGTGAAGTGAAGGATGCCCTTCCTCTACCCCAGATGTGAATGAGGTAGAGACATCAATTACTTTTAGTTAATACCAGTTAATTAATATCAGTATGCTGGGGTATTAATCACAATATCTGGGGCAAGCCATAGAAAGCTCTATTTTTGACAAGGTCACCCAGAAAGTTTGCACATCACATCACCTATGCTCATATCAGACAGAGCCAGATTCTGAAGAAAATGAAGGCATTATAGTCAAGAATCTTGGTGATTTCCAGGAAGAAAGAAGATGGCAACAAGAGTGAATGTCTTGAAGCCCATGAAGAACCTGTGGCTCACCGCGGAGCACACCTCTCTCTTCCAGGCACTGGGACTCAGGCTGAGCCTCCGCGGGCAGAGCCGAGGCCAGTGAAATGGAAACCACTCTGGACCCAGCAGGACCTCCCCGACACAGGCTTGTTGAACGATAACTGGAAAAGAAGGACAGGAGGATGGGTGAGACGGGGCCCCTGTCCTCCCCAAGGCCACAGACCCTGGCCCTGTGAGAGAAGAGTGCGCCTGATGACAGTCCTGTGGGCCCTGTTGCCAGGATCAGGAAGGACTCTGGGAGGGCAGCATGGAGCCTGAGTCTGAAAACCAGACTTTTGTTCTTGGTTTTATTTTGTTTTCCTATTTTAACATGTTCCAAAAAGGATTTGAAGCAATTTTGAGTTGGGACGTTCCCAGCTGAGAAGTGGTTTGCGGGCAGAGAAAACAGCAGGAAGTAAGGCACAAAATAAACACAACCAAGGCAGGGAGGAGAGGGGGGAGTGTGGTGGGGGGGGGGAGTGGTAAGACCGGGGGAACGATGCCATCAGGCGGTGCTCCACCTGCCCAGGTGGAAGGTGATGAGGGCCCAGACCCAGGCAGGATCAGTGGACCAGGAAAAGAGGGACATATATGGAGACATTTTAAAGAGCAAATTCTGCAGGACTGGCCACAAATGGAATGTGGTATTTAAAATAAAATTTTAAAAAGGTAAGAGTTGAGAAAAATGATGAAAATTCTAGTGTGGGTGCAGACCAGATGGAAACATTGTTAGCCAAGATGGAAAATACAGGATGAAGTGTCCGCCAGAGAGGCACCTGGGCAGGGATGAAGCAGTCTGTTTGGAATTTTAAAAATATAGGTTATAGGCGCAAACTTTCAGTTATAAAATAAATAAGGCCTCAGGACATCATGTACAACATGGTGACTATAGTTAATGAGACTGTGTTGTGTATATGAAAGTTCTAAGAGAGGAGATCTTAAAAGTTCTCATCACAAGAAAAAAAATGGTAACTACGTAAGGTGATGGATATTAACTACACTTGTGTGGTGATCATGTTGCAATGTATACAAATATAAAATCTATGTTGTACAGCTAAACCTAATAGTAAGTTATATGTCAATTATACTTGAATAAAAATTAAGGAAAAAATTCTTGTACAAAAGGGTATTTTAAATATCTTAGAATAGTTCAAATTATTAAATAAGGTGTTTTAATATCTAAGCACCAGGATAAAGGGTGCTTCAAAAAAACACCAACAACAAATAAATGGTCTACAAAATCCTATCTTGATTACCTCAATCAAGAAGAGCACTTTTGGCAAAATGATTTAAAAGCAGGCTATTCTGCTAGAAATATTTAATATATTAGATGCTACTTTAGCTACAATTGCAAATAAAGGGGAACAGGTGATCCTACTATCATAAAAATGATTGGTTATAAAGTTATTTATTTGTGGTAAATACCAGGTACAACACAGAATAAGTCACAGTGCTGATTAAGAGAACTATGAGACAATTTTGAAGTCAAACAGAGGCTAAAAATAGATAAGTAGGTTATGCAGGAAAAACATCTCCAGAACAGCTACCAATCAGAACTGAGAGCTTAAGCTCCAACCTCTAGGAGGGAGCAGAACAAGAACAATACAGATTGGAACACAAAAGCTTCAAAAATAAGATGAAAATAGGATAGGGGCTCAATTTGCAACATCCTTGAGACCCAGGGACTGATTACACACCTACATTATTTTATCCTGTGCTTCCTTGAGTTCTGGTGTTGCAATTGTTTTGTTTTGTTGCGCTTGTTTTTGCCTAGCAGAAGATACTCTGAGAAACCTTAGCATGCCAACAGGCCAGAGGACAGCCCTGCACTCTTGCTCCAGAAAGGGGCAGGGGCAGGGGCAGGGGGCAAGCCGGTGGGAAATAAGGAGCAGCACAGCTCATTACTAGAGTCCAAGGTTTCCCCTGAGGTGCTGTGGGAACTGGTCCAACCTGCAAGACACCTAGAGCTAAAATATTATGCCCAACCAGTGCAGGCTTCTGGGGATTGCATAGGTCAAGCCCCTGTCTCTAAGGCACAAAAACAAACTGAGTGAGCATTCCCTGGCTTTAGCTGTGTTTTCTGCTAGGCAAAAACAAGCACAACAACAAAAAGCAACAATTGCAACACCAAACTCAAGGAAGCACAGGATAAAATAATGTATCTGTGTAGTCAGTCCCTAGGTCTCAAGGATGTTGCAAATTGAACTCCTATCCTGTGTTCATCTTATTTTTGAAACTTTGTGCTCCAATCTGTACTTGTTTTGTTCTGCTTCCTCCGCTGAGCACATAAACTGCTTCAGAGACAAACAGCAGCATTTTGTCCAAGAAACTTGGCAAGCCCGTGGTATTGACAATGTGCTGAGAATCAGTTGATGTTTGACTTCACCAAGACTCAGCCTATTTGAGTTTCCAGCCCCTCTGAACCTTAATAATGAGCCCAGATTGCTGCGGCCGCTGATAGTGGAAACCTTTTCTCTGCTATGTTCTCCAGCTGTCACTTGAACTTACTGGTAAAATTTCAGTAGACAATAGTGAGACTGTCAAGTCAAACAGTCAGTCTTTTCATGATCCAGCCAGGTCTCTGGATTTAGTAGGATGCCAAGAGTCCAGGCCTGGCAGAGAAGACAGAGAAGGAATGATAACTACGGGAGCAAGACCTGTCATCAGAACTCCTCCCTTCTGGAAGGAAGGGGTATCTATAGGTGAGGCCTTCCTGCTAAATGCATATTAAAGTCATGGATTAAATCTCTAAGCCTCAATTACTTCCCTACAGTAGTCCTCCCTCATCTGAGCTGGATGCATTCGGAGGCCCCAGTGGATGCCCGAAACTGCAAATAATTACCGAACCCGATATGTACTATGGTTTTCCCTTTGCATACATACCTATGACAAATTTTAATTTCCAAATTAGGAACACTAAGAGATTAACAAACTAATAATAAGATAGAACAATTATAATAATACTAGAGGCCCGGTGCACAAAAATTTGTGCACTGG